ATACTCTGATATCTCTGTTTTGTTGATCTCTGATTTGAACTTCAGAGGTTGTTTGGGTTCGTCTGAACCACTCATATTTCCATCCATCAGAGCTCTGCACAGAACAGGTCAGTGTCACACTGCCCCCTACTGGTATGATTGTTGTTCCTGCTGTCAGTGTGGCCCAGGGTCTATATGCTGTTATCAAAAACAAGGAGTGAAAATAAAATTCATTCAGTATAAGAGCATAGACACATTTTAAAAAGCTACATTTTACTAAAGAATGCTTTAATGTTATGCAGTTTCCCAGTTAGAACAAAATCACTACCCTTCTTTATTATATGACTATTGCTTTTGTCTTTGTTCCAAGTAATGTAAGAGGTTTTGAAGATTTATTTGTCCCTGTCTCAGCAGGGAGATAATATTAATGCAACTCTTGCTGTAGATCTCAAAATAAACGCACTGTTTGTCCATTCTATGGCCTGGAAATGTCACATTAATGTAAACTTATACAGTTCTCTGATGAAGGATACACAATGATGGATTAAGAAGGTTGTATGCAGGTTTAGACAATCAAAACATCATTGAGGACCACTTTACATTAACATAAATTTTTGATGTTCCCCCTTTTTCTCTTGTGATTTGCAACAAACAAAATATCATAAGGGCACAAAAAAGGCAACAAAAAAAAAGCTAAATTTTAACATTTTAAGATAATGACCTTCCCACTACCAATGAAATCTACAAAAAATATTTATTTTTTTTGTTGTGTTTTTTTTTTAACTCTTGTCTGTCTTTTCTCTGCAGTTTAAATTTACAGCGTGTTAGAAACTGTTCACACATATTAACAGTTGAGATACAAATAAAAAAACGAAATCAACACAGAAAACTTCACATTGTATGTTTGATAATCATGAGTGAATGTATATTTCAAACTAAATTACTGAACTCACTGGTTATCTCAATGATGACATCATAACTGTCATAAGTGTAGTAAACTGGGTTTCCTCTTGTTCCTCTGCAGCGGTAGATTCCTCCTTGAGATACTCTGATATCTCTGTTTTGTTGACCTCTGATTTGACCTTCATAGGTTGTTTGGGTTCGTCTGAACCACTCATATTTCCATCCATCAGAGCTCTGCACAGAGCAGGTCAGTGTAACACTGCCCCCTACTGGTATGATTGTTGTTCCTGCTGTCAGTGTGGCCCAGGGTCTATATGCTGTTATCAAAAAGACAAAAAGAAAACACACAGCCTTTGAACAACATTTTAAAATATGCTTTCATTTTATTTAAATTCCAACTTCCAAGAAGAGATGTCTTTGCTGAGCACGCATCATTCTCAGGGACTCCTCTCATCCTGCCAATAAACTCTTCCAGCTCCTCCCCTTCAGCTGACGCTACAGGACCCTACAGACTAAAACCAGCAGGTTTATGAACAGCTTCTTCCCCACAGCTGTCAGCTTACTGAACTCAGTCCCCTGCTGAACCTTTCCATCCACACCCACTTATCCCTCCTAATGACCATGATCATGACTGTCATTCATTCTCAACATTCACCATATGCTTACATTGGTTACTGCTATAGTTTAGGACACTGAACCAGTATAGTCTCTGGTATAGTGCGTACACTGTTCACTATTATAGTCTGTTCAGAGCGCTACGCTTCCACTGTGAATATATTCATAGCACTTTGTAGATCTGTTTACCATATGTAGCACATCTGTATATATTTAGCAAAACTTTATATTTGTTCATAGTACATCTGTATTTCTGCCCGTCTGTATAGCAATACAGAACATCTGTATACTATATAGATCATCTGTATATCTGTACATATGTCTGTAGGTCATCTGTATATTTGCTCTCTGTACATAATCTGTTCATAACTATCCCACCATTTATTTATACTACCCTTATCTGTGTATAATTGCTCCTATTTTTAAGCACTTACTACTCTTGCACTCTGATCAGATGCAAACTGTATTTCCTTAACCTGTATTCATAGATGTGTAATGACAATAAAGTTGAATGCTAATCCTAATT